CACGGAAGAAACAAAGACATGCAGGTTTGGAACAATATTGAGGGAAAGAAAACGATGACAGAGTTTCCATTTTGGAGAGAAATATGCCCATTGAGGGCTATACATCTAAAATATGAACAACAGACAATCTAATATAAATTCATGACAGGAGAGTGAAAAGAACCACAAATAAGTAAATCCTTACTGTAAACTTTGTCTTTTCTTCCATGACCTTATATCCAAGCAAGGTGACCTTGAGTGTCCTTTCTTCATTGCTTCCTCTGCAAAAGCCATTGCTGTAATACTCCATCATATTCCCTTTCCTTACAACATCGGGACTGTGGTTCTGGTAAAACATGTTGTATCTTCTGGACCTGGTGAAAAGAAAAGAGTCATAAATCTAATGTTAGCAGAAGTTGACTGAATGTCATCTTCTGCATCCCTCACTATTAAGAGAAGTGAATCAGGTCACAAATGAGACAACCAAACCACACCTTCTTCTAAAGTCATTTGTATTTGCACGGTATGTTAAATGTGCATCTACAAAAACAATTCATTTCCGATACCCCCCCCCCCCCCCCCCCCCCCCCAATTCCCTTCTAGCTACATTTTATTACAGTTATCTGAAACAGTATTGCAGAATCATGTAGCATCTGAGAAAAACAATGACAAAGTATCAATGCATTTTGTAATGTAGTTAGTCATTTAATTAATGAATAATTAAAACTGGTCCATTCTCCCTCCCTGCTGTTTAATGACTGGTTTCACAACACCATAAAAGTTCCCCAAAGACTGCCTTTGTTTTGCATTTTGTTGTTAGGTCTGGAAAAGTAATGAACACATTGCTGCTGGGATCCATCAGGACAGATGTGAAATCCTAATGCAGGATTTATTGCTAGGCACTAGATAGCGCCATTGGAACTTGCAGTGGGTTTGAAATTCACCGGATGGTAACAAGTCCTTTTTAAAAATGCATTTAAATCAGTCTGTAAATAAACCAGAAATCTCCATTGAGTTACATAATTTATTCTGCAGTTCATTACTGGTTTTCATGATAAACTAGCCATTTTTTTATGATATGTTAGCTACTGAAAGTCAGTGTCTGGTATGAATATGGACTAGCATACGTATAATAAAATAGCTAGAAATCAGTCGAAATTTATCTACATTTTTTCTAGAATCCATTACATACTTGATTTTGCTAAATGTACTCTAACTGTAATGTAGTTTTGGCTGTGTGTGTGTGTGTGCAGGCATACCAGACAGAAACATCTGTATTTCATTCTGACCTTTCTTAATTTCATTAACAACCTTTAATGATAAATATGAAGTATAAAATATCTGTTTCAATCTCTCAAAGCAGTAATTCCCCCATGTATGTCCAGAAGTGAAGTATGTTCAGCTCTGTTTAATTCTGTGAATGCCAGCCGGAGGGCTGAAAATATTTCCATTTTGCATTGTTAAACCTGTAAAAAAATATGACAAAAAAATATTAGGGTTGTCAAAAGATTTCAATAACTTTTCTTCATCTCATTGTTTTTTTTCCAGTTCCTTTTTTATGAAAGAAAACAAAATAATTTGTTTAATGTTTTACAGTGCACGAATGAAAATCAGAATGTTTGTTTTTCACCTAAAGCATTGTTTTTAGGTGACTTCAATAATTAATGCTATTGCTAAATGATATCCAGAATAATTAACCCCTTAACTGTCACCGTCCCAACTGTGGGATGTTTGGCACTCTTTTTTGTTGTTGTCCTTTTTCTCTATGAAATCTTTTAGTAATCATCAAAAATTATATATCGTTTGAAAGCTTAGAAGCCTAAGATTCATCCTGTGAAAACCATTTTGAAATCGGACATTGTGTTACCGTGGAAATGGTACTTTAAAATATTTTGGCAGTCTCCTCCCCCTTAGTGGGCGGCGTCATATTACCAAGTGTATTACGATATTTTACAACCACATTTTTTTCATATCAACTTCAAATTTGGTACATAACTTATTTAGACACAAGGCTTTAATTTTATACCAATTTTAGAGTAAAACCTGCTATGTAAAATATTTACTATACATAAAATAAAATAAAATGAGTATAGCGCATTTTCTTTACAGTACACAGCAAAAATATGTTGGGAGATTTGTCACCATGGGTGTTAAAATTATTACTTTTCAGGTGAACATACAGGTCCATCTTTGCTAGTGTTAAAACAACACTGACAAAAGTGTTTATTATACAAACACTGTGTTAGTGTTTCATTTTAATCGCTCAAGGTGTTGAGAAATTATTACTCACAAGTGTACACATTTAACACTTTATGGTGATTAATCTCACACACCCAGTGTATTTATTTAATGTTGATTTAATGTGAATTTTGTAAATATTTAAAATGGTAATGCAGATTAAATTTAAAACATAAAACTAAATATTTTTCAAAAACCAAGTGACTATGAATTTATTTCAACATTTATTGAAATTTTAATATATAAAGCATACAATAGAATAAAAGAGCTCTGTAGTCTCCAATGCATCTTAATACTGTTTGGTATGAAAATACACATTCATTATGATACATATTACTTTATAAATCTCTACTGAGTTTCAAACAAGTTCATTTTTTTGTAACTATGTAGAAAAATGAGTCAGCACCATAGGATATCTGTGCATCAAACAAAGAAACTTTCCTTAAGTTGTCCTTGTTCACTATACATGTTGAGATGCTTTGTCAAATAATCTGCATGGACATTTTCAATAGAAGTTGACTCAGTCTTTTAACAAGTAAACATGCAGTGCAATAACATCTTTAAATTTAAAATACAACAAAAATTGAACATGCATCCTTAAAATCATCAATGTTAAACACTGTCTGGTTTGAAAATAGACATTCATTCTGATAAAATATACTATTTCTTTATAAATAGGCTAAATAATCACATAAATCTTTCAAACAAGTTCATATTTTGCAACTATGTAGAAAAATGAGTCAGCACCATAGGATATCTGTGCATCAAACAAAGAAACATTCCTTAGGTTGTCCTTGTTCACTATACATGTTGAGATGCTTTGTCAAATAATCTGCATGGACATTTTCAATAGAAGTTGACTCAGTCTTTTAACAAGTAAACATGCAGTGCAATAACATCTTTAAATTTAAAATACAACAAAAATTGAACATGCATCCTTAAAATCATCAATGTTAAACACTGTCTGGTTTGAAAATAGACATTCATTCTGATAAAATATACTATTTCTTTATAAATAGGCTAAATAATCACATAAATCTTTCAAACAAGTTCATATTTTGCGTTTTACTATAGCTTCTGTTTAATACCAACACACATATTACAGTAAGAACTACATTAATTTTATTTTAGGAGCACCAGTGCGACGGACCCGATCCTCATCATACTTGTGATTGAGCTCAGGGGAGCTTCAAAGGTTTCTACGTGTTTTTGCAGCGTTGATTAATGTGTCACAGACATATCTCATGAATCTTTTCATAAGCCAAGTGAAAGATTCATTGCGCAGTGTAGAGAGCTTTGTTGATTATAAATGTGAGATCGAGATGAACTAAGATGAGTGACAGCTTTTAATGATTTTTAAGGGAGTTTGTAAATGTGATCCTGATTTAATACAATACAATTCAATAAACATTAAGTTAATATTAAGTGACTTACTTTGTCTGACTATAACACTATTGTCTGATTTTGCTCTATTTCGTCGTCGAAAATAGTTTAAAAACAAAGACACAGCGGAGCTGCTGCGCGTCTCCATTCAAACACAGCTGTGTTTCGTTTATGAATGAACGGCCGTTAACGTTAAGCTCTCCTGCTCAGCATCCACTAATCTTCCCACAGCAAGAGCACGTTCAAAATTTTAGGAGCACATTCTTAACAATTATCCAATATGTTATCAAAAAGTAGCCTTCCAGCTCCATCCTCTGCATGCCAGCTTGTTGTTATCATTACTGAACCCAGAACCACAGCCAATGATGTACCTGAGGATGGAATTTATTGCATGTCAGCATACATTTCTTTAAAGTTTCTGTTTCTTATAACAGGCTGGATGCAGTGCCATATTACTGTGAGGAAAAATCTCTTGTGAATTCCCTTTGTTACATCATAATGGAAAAACCCAGGAAGCCTTCATGGGTCAAAACCCCAAACGTCAGACCGACGTCTTTGACCATTTATTAAACAGTTCAAAAACGTGGACGATAAAACACTATACATAGCCTAGCTATATTATATTTAATTGGACTATTATAAACAAACTAAATAAATAAACACGTTTTAAACGTTCTGTCATGTGTAAAAGTTAATATACGCGTAATAACAACAAAAATAATCATAATAAAAAAAGCTGTTCACACTTCACAATGTTCAGGTCTGGTGAATGTCCCCCCCCCCCCCCCCCCAAAAAATGTGGACCCGGAAGCTGAAGTCACAGTCGTGTGATCGGCGTTGTTTTTTTCCCTTACCTGTTTTCCGAAAAATCCCGCCCCCTACGACAGGATTGGCTGTAAGGGTTTACAAGACGTCTGTGATTGGCTAGTTGAGATGTCATTCATCTATCCGCATGTCAAGGGCGGGACTACACGGGTGGTTACGCACAAAAAAAACATAGCGTCCGACCCACTCATTCTTCACACACCTGCGAAATATTTACCGAGCGCTCAGCCACCACCACCACCACCACGACCACGTTATCGTTAAATGTCAAACTGTGGTGATTTATTTTATTTCGGCGGTTTGTTTTATGGCGTGATATAAAATGCGTTGTTCGGATTGGGGGCGTGTCTCCAAGCGCGATCCGTAGGACACATTTCTTTTCCATCTGTTGTTTCAGGGACACTTTTAACGGGGATATTTTGACTACATAAATTAGTAGTCACCTAAACGCCCGTCTGTAGATTCGAGCGCCTTCACAACATGTGAGTTAGAGACGTGCGCGATATTGTCTCTGTGAGGGTTTTCAGCTGTAGCAGTGCGCTTTCAGTTCCCCTTTCTACTGAAGCTGAACGGGCCCGTCTCATCTCATAATCTCCTCAAACATGGAGCACACCGGCTGCGTCAACATCTGCAGTCTCACCAGCACCTTACCGGTGATCCCGTATCGGAAACTAACGGACCTGCACTATATCAGTAAGGGAGGCTTCGGGACCGTGTTCAGGGCGCAGCACAGCGACTGGCGCACCACGGTGGCGATCAAGTGCTTGAAACTGGATTCACCGGTTGGTGAGAGGTGGGTTCAAGTCAGCGCACTTTGCTTCCTTATTCGCTCAAATGCACGATGATTGCTGGGCTGTTTATGCGCTGCGATGGTGTCAGTCTGGTATGGCCATAAATGCTGGTTGTTGCAGGATCTGAACTACTATGCAGCACTTGCGTTAAGTATGCGGGCAGACAGCACGCTTTAAAGGCACTGCAGTTGGGAACTGTATGTTCAAGACGTTTGAATGTATTTTCAGTAGGGATATGATGGGCCACGAGCTCTTTTGTGACAAAACCTGACTGTGTTGTGCTAAAAAAGCACCGAGTTACAGCAGCTGAGAAGTTTCTAAGATCATGGAAAACCTGGAAATGTGTTGGGATGTCATTTCCACACCCGGAAAAGACGTGCAAAGAAGTGAAATTCTTAAAAAAATTCTAATAATAAAGCTAAACTTTAAAGTCATGAAAATATTTTGAGTGAAAATTTAAGGCGATTAAAGTTCACTTAAAGGTCTGTCATCTTTTACTCACCCTTATTTTTTTATTTTTTTTCTTCTGTGGAACACTAAAGGAGAATTTCAAGATAAAGTCACTGTTCTAGAGATGCACAATATCTGTATCATAACGTCTATCTATGTTTTTAGAGATTTCTTTTTCAGAATCATCCGGCTTTCACCGTGGACGAAGTGGAGTCCAGCCCGGGGTCGTCACATGTGGTTGCCGCAAGCCCGCCGGACGCTCCTTCGTCGAATCCGCCGGCCGTGCCGTTCTCAAGCCCGCCAGCCTCCACTCACTCAAGGCCTCCGGCCTCCGCTCACTCTAGCTCGCCGTGTGTGACACTGTGTTGTTTTGTTTTGAAAGCGAAACTACTTTGTTTGGTCTTCCAAAAGAGGACACGACTACAAATCAGTGGTTAAGTTGTATTTACAACACTGTTCCAGAACACTTCAACCCAAATATTCAGATGTGTGCAGCGCATTTTATGGAGGACTGTTTCCTGATCCTGGTAGAGTAGACTATAATGCCGGCTGTTCAGACTCACAGACTGTAAGTACGTTTTTTTATATATTTAAAGAATTTGCCACTGACGATTTAAACGTGAGTTTTGAGCAGTGTAGAGTAGTGCTTGTTGTTTGTAATTTCTCCGATCACCGCAACGCGTAAAAAGACAGTATAAGTCATTATAATCCGTAATTATGTCCCCACTGGATGCAACAAATGCCTCGTTTATAATGGGTTTTATAGTTTTTGTCTCGTCGCTCCGGCCGGGACACGGCATCGCGGCATTACACGGGGTGTAACATTTCCGTCACACGCTTGAGGTATTCGGCTAATCACAACGCACTGGATAGCTGGCCAATCAGAGCACACCTTGCTTTTCAGACTGATGAGCTTTGTAAAAATTGACGCGTTTCAGAAAGGCGGGGCATAGAGGAGAAACGATAATGTACAGTATGTGGAAAAATAATGTGTTTTTTTAACCTTAAACGGCATAAACACACTTAAAAGTGTCTGTCCTCTAACTGAACTAGGCTAAATTATTTTTGTTACTATAAAAAAATCAAAACGACGGTGTGGGGGGCGGTGCCGTCGGTAGCCAAATGACGTAACTGGTGTTGCGGCTTAACCGAAAACACCGTCTATCGCAGCAAGCCTAGACTGGAACTCTAAAGCTTCAAAAAAGGACACAAAAGTATCATGGAAGTGCTCCATGTGATTTGTGTGCAGTAATTCAAGTTTTTTAAAGCCATAGAATAGTTTTGCATGTAGAGCAGACTGACATTTTAGTTGTTATTCACTAAAAAGTCTGACATGCAGCCTTTAAAACCCATGTCTTCTTTCATTGTAATTGGAAATGGATAAAAAATGCTAGCACAACATTTTGTTTCTGTTGTTTTACAAAAAAGTTTGAAAAAAAACAAGGGTTAGAAAATGCTGATGAATGTAGTACAGTGGTGCCCTTTTTAATTTTGTATCTTGACAGACACCGTTGGAAAACCTATATTGTTTTTTTTTTTAATTCAACCATTAATCAGCATAAATTTTGAAAGTATTTTTAAAGTATGTAATATATTTGGTCACACTTCAGTTTGGGGACCAATTCTCTCTATTAAGTGGCTGTTAACTATGATTTTTGCTTCTGTGAACTCCAATATGCCAGTAGTAGGCATGCTAATAAGCAACTCGTTAATAGTGAGAATCGGTTCCTAAACTAATGTGTTGCCATATATTTTGTTGGGATTTCACATTGGATTTTCTGATCTAATGTGCATCTTGTATGTCTGTGTTTGTGAATAGATAGCTGATTTTGGCTTATCTAAATGGCGCCAGCTCTCTATCACTAAAGGGTCCGGCTCCAAACCTGCTGAAATGGGAGGCACGGTCATCTATATGCCACCTGAGGAGTATGAACCTTCCAAGAACCGCAGAGCTGATGTCAAATATGACGTGTACAGGTCAGTTTCTGTAGATTTGATAAAGCTTCCAGTTTCGACCAGATGGGTGAACTTCTCCGTTCCAAATTCTTTCAACTACATGCTATTAATGTACTGCTCTCTCTCAGTTCCTGTATTTTTTGAGGGGGCATCTCCTTAAGACGTTCAGATGTCCTTATTGCACCATGGCCCGAGTCTAATGCTGACTCCGCAAAATTCCTGTCAGATGAGGGACATGTTCCACCCTTAACTCATTTTCAGAGTTCATATGGTGAGCCTGGAAATGTCAGGGAATTTAAAAAGTGATTTCCAGGCCTGTAAAAGTCATGAAACGTTTCTAGTTATTCTTACCTCTAAAATATTTTATCATCTATAAATCTATAAAATCCTCATCCAAGGCATAAGTGAATGGAAAAACAACAGATGTGCAAACTCGTTGATTGGGAGGGAGGAATATAGGAAATAATGGAAATGATAAAATACTTTACCAATTCTTCAGAACAAAGAGAGAGGCTGGGAAACAGAACAAAAAATTAAACCAGTTCCTGGGTTTAATCAAAGCTCACCAGAACTACCCATGAAAGAGGCCCTTATTTTGTCCTTCACTGCTCTGGTCAAAAAAAGGGAAGTGATTTAGAAGCTAAATGTCAACCTGTCTTAGTCAGAGGGCATGTTGAAATTATTACACAGATGGGACAGTGTGAGATTTATCTCCAGAGGGGGATTGCCAGATGTGGATGCAGCAGTGAAACCGTTCTCTCATCTGTTCTGTGCTTCCTTTTTCAGTTACGCCATCATCATGTGGGAAGTGCTTTCAAGACGGATACCATATGAAGGTAGGGTCCATCATGAATTGTAGAAAAGTGTACCAATGGGTTCCACAACAGTCACATAGCTCATATGTCTTATGTTACATTCTGAAAAATGTCACATTCTTGAAAATAGTGAATAACGCATTCTTTTTATTCAGATCTTTTCTGTGAATCTAGTAATCTGGTTTAAAAAACCATTCACGAATCAGACTGAATATCAGTTCTTGGGTTAACAGTCTTTCAGAGTGTTTTCTTAATAAAGCACAAATATAGAAATATGTTTACAGCTTGACTGTATGACATTTTTATCAGCAGTCACATGAAAAGAGTTTATTCAAAGCATTTTTATTAAAACATGCAAAAACTTCAGCCAAGATACGTAGGGTCATTTTAGATTTATACATTTTTAATGCTAATTATATTTGGGTTTTAAATTACATTGTTATTTTGAGCTGATTCCATTGAGTTGATTCAAGAGCAGATTCTTCTCTTTGTGTGTTTAAGACAACAAAGCATATTTCCTCATTTGTGCATCACTGTGCTTGTGGTGAAGATCTTTAATGTTGACTATTTTGTATCATGAACACTAATATCAGTATGAGTGGAAGCAACAAAGAAATTAGAACTGGAAGACACGAGACCGCAATAACCACCCCAATTAACTTTTTAACTAGTTAAAAAAAGGGCATAATAAACTGCAGGATGCATCTGCATATGGTTTTATTGGACCTTTATTAGACCTGTATTATGCCATGCTTAAAATAGCAAAACCTAATTTTCATTAAGTTATAAAGACTTTCTTTGACATGGATGAAATACTGTACTAAAATACTCTGAAAGTTTTCCCTGCTTATTTTATTCAGTACAGCACATAACAGCAGGGTTATTAAAGTTAACTAAAACTGTAAAAAAAAATCTGTTACTTCAAATAAAATCTGAGTTGATTCAAGAGCAGATTCTTCTCTTTGTGTGTTTAAGACAACAAAGCATATTTCCTCATTTGTGCATCACTGTGCTTGTGGTGAAGATCTTTAATGTTGACTATTTTGTATCATGAACACTAATATCAGTATGAGTGGAAGCAACAAAGAAATTAGAACTGGAAGACACGAGACCGCAATAACCACCCCAATTAACTTTTTAACTAGTTAAAAAAAGGGCATAATAAACTGCAGGATGCATCTGCATATGGTTTTATTGGACCTTTATTAGACCTGTATTATGCCATGCTTAAAATAGCAAAACCAAATTTTCATTAAGTTATAAAGACTTTCTTTGACATGGATGAAATACTGTACTAAAATACTCTGAAAGTTTTCCCTGCTTATTTTATTCAGTACAGCACATAACAGCAGGGTTATTAAAGTTAACTAAAACTGTAAACAAAAATCTGTTACTTCAAATAAAATTAATGTTAACTGGAAAACAAAAAAAACTTTAATCTGATTTTATTTCAGCTAGTTGCCAAGGCAAAGTGGTCACACTTTAGTTTGGGGGCCAGTTCTCACTGTTAACTAACTATTAACCAAGATTCCGCCACAGTAAACTCCTAATTTGCTGCTTATTAATAATTAGTAAGGTAGTTGATAAATTTAGGTATGTTGTGGATTAAAGGATCTAGAATATGCTCATGCAGAATAATGCATTAATATGTGCTTTATAAGTACTAATAAACAGTCAATGTGCTAGTAACAAGCATGCTAATAAGCAACTAGTTAATATAGAGAATTGGTCCCTAAATTAAAGTGTTACTGGCAAAGTTTCTCGTTTTCATTTAGTTTAACTTGATATACTAAAATGACTAAAACGAAAAAAAATTTTTTTTTTAATTTGTAAATTAACAAAAAACTGCACAACAAAATTACTAAAACGTCAACTAAAATTAAAAGGAAAACTAAAATATAAAAATAAAAACGAAACTAAACTATACTAGTATTTGAAACTAACACAGCAACCAGTGAAGTCAGAATCATTGTGCAGCCCTACTCACGCAACACTAAGCACATTTTGCTGTGTCATGTTTTTGATACCAAAAAAAGATGACACAGATTTCCTCATGGATACTTCCTCCTCCGTTTCATAATCTGCAGCAGTCCGTCTTTCCAGGCAGCATTCTTCAATTCTCTGACACTGTCCTCTTGTTCTCTCTGTGAGCAGAGGCCACCAATCCCATGCAGATCATGTTCAGCGTTCTCCGCGGATCGCGACCCGACACGGACCTGGACAGTCTGCCAGCAGACATCCCCAGCCGAGAGACCCTCATTAACCTCATGACCTGCGGCTGGACCGCCAACCCAGATGAACGGCCCTCCTTCCTCAGTGAGTGTCGGCCCCACCTTTGACCTTTCCCCTGATTTTCACAATCCCTCTGAACTTGTTTGCTTCATGCTGTCACAATCCAATAGGGTGACCTGTTCTTGTGGTTTGTTAATTAATTTAAATGTCTAACCACAATTCAGTCATTGGTCTTTACTGGCAATTTTGTCATATCATGATAAAAGTTAGTGTTACAAGACAAGTAGAAATGTTGAGTCATTACAAGTAAAGTTTTCTCTTTTACAAACCCTGCAACAGATCAGGGGAATGAGGAAATGACTGTGAACCGACAGAGAGCAGTGGGGTCATCTTCATGTGTCATTCATCTAGAATTGTCTATTAACCAGATAAGGTTTAATAAATCAGTAATTAAAGCAAACCGTGTGAAAGTCTAATATCTAGATTTAGGCATTGATTATTTTTTTAACATGCCCCATTAACAATAGACAATTTTATTTCCTAGTAAGCAGCAGGCTATGTTGAGTAAGATCTTTTGGCACAGACGTGAGTTCATTTGTGTACTATTACTATTATATTAAATAAAACGCAAGCATAACTTGAGCTTGTGTTAACCACAGACCTTATTTCAGGCATTTAACCAAAAACCTATTTAAAAAAAAAAAAGCCATTCAGAAAATTCAACTGAAATTACTCAAATGCTTACTTGTTTCCGGGTTTTGGCCTACAAAAGTGCATCATCCTGCATTACTGTATTGGTGTGAACTCAACTCTAGGTAGTGAACCATTATTGATGGTGTGCAAGTTATAACAGGGTTTCCCAAACTGAGATTCAGAACTGTTGAAAAGCTGATAATTAAATCATAAAAATGTAAAATAAAGGTGAATATTTGTAAAATAAAAAGTAAAACGCTTACTAAAAAAGATGAAATATCAATTAATTAAATAATAAATATTTTATTTGTTTAGCTGCTTTGTCACATTTTAAGTGCGAGCACTCTCTCTGAGATTCCTCAAAGAAAATTTGCGTGCGAGCGGAGAGATTCGCGCTCGCGAATTATATTAATGTGCTTTCGGGCTACAATAATGCAGTCTCGACATTTGTCATTAAAATAATGCCATATTTATTTGAGGTCAAATGAGTTTAGCTGACAGAAAAAGTTTGGGAATGCTTTGTGTGGTGCTAATTTTAGATATTGTTTATTTGTTTTTGTTTTACTCAAAGCTGCAGTCTGTACCTTTTTTGTGTTCAAAATTTACATAATTTATCCATTTTCCAAACCGTGTTTTTGGCTTATCCTGATTCACTATGGTACACCTATAATAAGTTTTTATATTCTGACTATTTTAGACTGGTTCTGGTTGGAATCGCTGCGGAGTACCTGCGTGATTCGTCATAGACATAAACAGGGAGAAGTAGCTGCAGCTACAATGTTCTTCCGCAAGACACATGCAGTTCTGTTTATTAACCGCTAGAGAGCCAAATGTTACGGACTGCAGCTTTAATTAATTATTTTGTAGCTTAATAGCTGCTTTGTCTTTCATGTTTGTACAGATTGTCTTATTGAACTGGAGCCCATGATGAGAAGATTTGATGAGATTGATTTCTTGGAAGCAGTGTTGGAAGTCAAACGAAGTAAGGTGAGTCTTTAAGGGTTAGACTGACTTTGCATGGATGAATTATGAATGGAGACTTGAGCTTGTGTTAACCACAGACCTTATTTCAGGCATTTAACCAAAAACCTATTTAAAAAAAAAAAAGCCATTCAGAAAATTCAACTGAAATTACTCAAATGCTTACTTGTTTCCGGGTTTTGGCCTACAAAAGTGCATCATCCTGCATTACTGTATTGGTGTGAACTCAACTCTAGGTAGTGAACCATTATTGATGGTGTGCAAGTTATAACAGGGTTTCCCAAACTGAGATTCAGAACTGTTGAAAAGCTGATAATTAAATCATAAAAATGTAAAATAAAGGTGAATATTTGTAAAATAAAAAGTAAAACGCTTACTAAAAAAGATGAAATATCAATTAATTAAATAATAAATATTTTATTTGTTTAGCTGCTTTGTCACATTTTAAGTGCGAGCACTCTCTCTGAGATTCCTCAAAGAAAATTTGCGTGCGAGCGGAGAGATTCGCGCTCGCGCATTATATTAATGTGCTTTCGGGCTACAATAATGCAGTCTCGACATTTGTCATTAAAATAATGCCATATTTATTTGAGGTCAAATGAGTTTAGCTGACAGAAAAAGTTTGGGAATGCTTTGTGTGGTGCTAATTTTAGATATTGTTTATTTGTTTTTGTTTTACTCAAAGCTGCAGTCTGTACCTTTTTTGTGTTCAAAATTTACATAATTTATCCATTTTCCAAACCGTGTTTTTGGCTTATCCTGATTCACTATGGTACACCTATAATAAGTTTTTATATTCTGATATATATATTTATTTTAGACTGGTTCTGGTTGGAATCGCTGCGGAGTACCTGCGTGATTCGTCATAGACATAAACAGGGAGAAGTAGCTGAGTGAACCATTATTGATGGTGTGCAAGTTATAACAGGGTTTCCCAAACTGAGATTCAGAACTGTTGAAAAGCTGATAATTAAATCATAAAAATGTAAAATAAAGGTGAATATTTGTAAAATAAAAAGTAAAACGCTTACTAAAAAAGATGAAATATCAATTAATTAAATAATAAATATTTTATTTGTTTAGCTGCTTTGTCACATTTTAAGTGCGAGCACTCTCTCTGAGATTCCTCAAAGAAAATTTGCGTGCGAGCGGAGAGATTCGCGCTCGCGCATTATATTAATGTGCTTTCGGGCTACAATAATGCAGTCTCGACATTTGTCATTAAAATAATGCCATATTTATTTGAGGTCAAATGAGTTTAGCTGACAGAAAAAGTTTGGGAATGCTTTGTGTGGTGCTAATTTTAGATATTGTTTATTTGTTTTTGTTTTACTCAAAGCTGCAGTCTGTACCTTTTTTGTGTTCAAAATTTACATAATTTATCCATTTTCCAAACCGTGTTTTTGGCTTATCCTGATTCACTATGGTACACCTATAATAAGTTTTTATATTCTGACTATTTTAGACTGGTTCTGGTTGGAATCGCTGCGGAGTACCTGCGTGATTCGTCATAGACATAAACAGGGAGAAGTAGCTCCAGCTACAATGTTCTTCCGCAAGACACATGCAGTTCTGTTTATTAACCGCTAGAGAGCCAAATGTTACGGACTGCAGCTTTAATTAATTATTTTGTAGCTTAATAGCTGCTTTGTCTTTCATGTTTGCACAGATTGTCTTATTGAACTGGAGCCCATGATGAGAAGATTTGATGAGATTGATTTCTTGGAAGCAGTGTTGGAAGTCAAACGAAGTAAGGTGAGTCTTTAAGGGTTAGACTGACTTTGCATGGATGAATTATGAATGGAGAACTTTAATTTGAATGCCTATTTTTGTCTACATTGAGTAAATGGAAATAATTTGATTGTATCTTCTGGCTCTTAGGTAAAAAACAACAACAATTGAATTAATTATGATTTCTCATGCATTCCTTTCCTCAGTATATGAGGCCATCAAGCTGCTGCTCATCGACTCAAACAAACGGAAAAAGAATTGAGGAAAAGATTGTGAAGGAGCAAAATGTCCCTTGGCCAGTAAGTTACCTTTATATATACAGTATATACTGTGTATATATATATATATATATAAATAAATATATATATATATGCAAGTCCTGGGTTGTTGATGATTCCGTATTTAAGCAGAGATAAGAGCAGTCTGGTGAGTGTCTTAATTTTTTCATGTTACATGACAGGACAACAGTTCCACATCTGGATCAGGATCCTGCTCTTCCCAGGAAGCAGAAATGTCCCATCCGGGCTTCCTTACCATATCAAATCCCTCTCGAGGCAAGGACTAATTTCTTCTAAAAGCGATAGATCACCCAAAAATGAAATTCTTCCATCATTTACTCACCTTCGTGTTGTTCACTAATTGTGTGACTTAAAAGGTTAGTTCACCCAAAAATGTCACCCTCAAGTCATCCTAGGTGTATATGACTTTCTTCTTTCAGACGAATCCAGTCGGAGTTATATTAAAAATTGTCTTTGATCTTTCAAGCTGTTTAATGGCACTCATCATGTGTTGTATGCATCAGTCCAAAAGAAGTTAAATAAAAAGCGCCCATCCAAAAAAAGTGTCTCACACAGCTCCGGGGGGTGAACTTCTGCAGCCTTCTGTAGCGAATCGATGCGTTTTTGTAAGAAAAATATCCATAACGTAATAATCACTTTAATGCCAACAGTTGTACACGGAAGCAGCTCCGGGCGGATGACGTATGAGGTCAACGTTGCGCATGCGCCAGTGAGTCTCGTGAAAACCAACGTTTGTTAACAGAAGCAAAGGAAGCAAAGTTTCCTTACTTTAGCAAAGGAAAACCAGTCTCCTCTTGGCTTATATCGAAATCCTCCGACATTCTTCTTTACAAATCCTCGTTTTGTACTTCTAATTAGTGACCGTTGTTTTGTTTTGATCTCTCCCCTGCGCTTCCGCGTGCGTCACTTATGAGCGGCGCATGCGCAACGCCGACCTACATACGTCGTCCTCCCGGAACTGCTTCCGTGTACAACAGTGAGCGCAAGTTACATTAAAGTGATTATTACGTTTTGAATATGGATATTTTTCTTACAAAAATGCATCGATTCGCTACAGGAGGGCTTTGTTCACTCCCCGGAGCCATGTGAGAGACTTTTTTTTAAATGGACGGGCGCTTTTTATTTAACTTCTTTTGAACTGATGCATGCAAAACCCGCTGAGTGCCATGAAACAGCTTGAAAGATCAAAGACCATTTTTAATATAACTCCGACTTGATTCGTCTGAAAGAAGAAAGTCATATACACCTAGGATGACTTGAGGGTGAGTAATATATGGGCTAATTTTCATTTTTGGGTGAACTAACCCTTTAATTTCTTCCATGGAAATAAATTGCTGAATGGAAAAAAATCACAATATGGCTTTTCACATTTGAAATAGTTAAACCCTGTGTCATAAACAGAATCCTGGGTTATTTTGTTTTTAATTTTCATACTTTAACTGTGTATAACCATTAATCCTGGTTTTTCATAAGCTGATGTTTCAGTCTATACATTCCTAAACTCTGGGTTAACATTCTTATTTGGATATATGTGACCATGGACCACAAAATCAGTCATAAGGGTCAGTTCTTTGAAATTGAGATTCATACATCAAAGCTGAATAAGCTTTCCATTGATGTATGGTTTGTTAGGATAGGACAATAATTGAACATGATCTTTACTTAATATCCTCATGATTTTTGACATTGTTGGCTATTGCTACAAATATACCCATGATACTTATGACTGGTTTTGTGCTCCAAGGTCACATATGTGGTCTCAGTGTCATTGATTGGATGAATGAACGTACATAAATTATCTAGCATTGCACATCCTCGTATTATATATTGCCGACTGATATTTTCCTGAATGGACTATAAAGGTAAGAATAAAACAATCTCTTCTTCACTCCAATTCATGTGTTTTTCATCACCATTTGTCATTTTTTCCCTTAAATGCTGAAACAGATGTTTATATATTGCACAGTGTTTCTGTGACTGTGCAAAGCATGTGAATATGGATTGGGTTAGACGTGTGTTGCTAAGCATCTAGTCATAATCAGTTTTGGGTGTAACACGTTACTAAGTAATTAAATTACTTATCCACTGAAAAAGTAAAGTAAGGTATTACTGTTCATTTTTAGGTAATTTAATCACAGTTACTTATAAAGTACTTGCGTTACATACTGTAAATATTTTCAACAGTTCTAAAATCAATTTTGAATTTGAAATCTAAATTTACAATCTAAAGATAAAATTGAATGCAGCATCTTTAACCATCTGCACGCCGGCACGTTCACTTTCAGTTTTTCCTGATTCACAGAGAAACCTTGAATACTCAGATACAGATAAGACTAAAATCAATCGAATCTAAAAAGGGCCTACTTTTATTTGTGTACACTGACAATAACAACAAAACATTGTGCTTTTGTAAAATAAACAAAACAAACGGTGGGCTTTCTGCCGTCTCGGTCTCCGTGAGCAACTTTCTACGCATCACAAATATGAACTCAGCGAATACTTGACACAGAGACATGAGAAATATGTCTATAGAAAGCTTGAAGCATCTACTTTTAAATGAACAAATTCAAGTCGAAAACTAATATTCCTGATTATGTAAACCGTATGAAAGCGAGGTACAGTCTTTCCCGTATCTGAAAGCTTAGTTTACTTTTAAATTAACACATTCAAATCAAAAACGAATATTCTCTGATTATGTAATCCATATGAAACTAAAGCGAGGTACAGTCTTTCCCCTATCTGAAGCTTGAAGTCTGTCTACTTTTAAATGAATGAATTCAAATTGAAAACTAATATTATCTGAATATGTAATCTGTATGAAACTAAAATGAGGTACTCACTCTCCTGTATCTGAAAAGCTTGAAGTGTCTACTTTTAAATGAACAAATTCAAATCGAAAAACGGATATTCTGATTATGTAATCCGTATGAAACTAAAGCGAGGTACAGTCTTTCCTGTGTCTCAGTTTATTATATGCAGTCACCTGCGCACAAATGCCCTCGCCTAGATATAAAAAATAGATTTAAAAAAAATCAAGATTAATCTAATTTTCATAGTTTTTGAAAGAAGACCTGCTATGAGGAATAAGCCAGAATTTACCTCAGAAGAACAGCGCGATCTGACGCGGCTTTATTCAGCGGAGGAGATCATTTCTGTAATTTATTCTTATCTACATTATTTAACGTGTTATTTTTAAATAAACCCGTATGGATTTAACTAGTTGTCCTTTTCCTGAACATCTTGCCAAACTGAAATGTACTGTTTAACTTTTCTTAAGCTTTTTTGTTATTCAGATGTTTTGCAGAGTATTTCTATTTGTTAACCAAAGAAGGTTACATTTTTTTATAAAAATGTTTTAAGTATTACAGTTGTTTTAAAGCTAAAAGGCTAAACTATTCTATGTTTGACTCAAATTGAAAGAAAGTTTAATTTCTATTGTCTATGCTTTTTTCCCCCTAAGGTTTATAGGGATTTTAAGATGTACCCTAATTAGCGATTTGAGTAATTATGTTACTTATTGAGTAACTAAATTACTTTTCAGAGTAATTAGTAAAGTAATTTAAACACAGTATTGATGATGTAATTAGTAATAGTAATTAATTACTTTTTGAAAGTAACTTACCCAACACTGATCATAATGTTGTAACACCACATTGTTTTACACCATACACATTTTCACACCACAATGCAGGAGCAAACTCCAGAGCAGAGTTTAATAACTAGGTCATCATGAATGTTCCTTTCGATTGACAATAACCCAGGGTTAAGCGTAGTGTGAAAAGCCCTAATGAGTAAACAATGACAAAATGTTGGGGTAATGTAATCACATGCACCTCATTTATTCATCTTATTTCCATCTGCCCTTTGGATTCTTTTAACTGGCTCGTTTATTGGTGCTGTTCTATATCATCAGGTGTGTCAGGTGCTCAGGCTGGCCCGCAGGCATCATTAATGTCACTTCCACTTGATTCTCCAAAGCCTCTTGTGGACCACTGCTCTCGGAACAACCTCAGTCCCGAATACCAGACGGCGCAGCCTGTGTCCGACCTCAACATACCTTTTAAACCGCATACGCCTCAGAGTGAAAGCGACCTGGCTCTTGCCATACAACCCCTCACGCTGCAGCCACACCCACAAGGTAACCACAGGTTAGCCAAACCTTGAACAGTGCCGAAGCATCTATAAGATAAATTACTATCAACTTTTCTCTTGACTGTCATCTGTATACAATGAATAAACTCTATGAAATTAGTCCCAATGTTGGAAAAATAATTTTCTACCCGATTATACCCACTGTAGAATAGGTAATTCCAGGATGACACAAGTTTTTAATATATGGGGAAGATCCTCCAACATGTTCTCTTTACTGAATCCATTTATCCATTAAGTGTGTTTTGTTAGATTGTGCTGGCCTTAACTCTTTGAGAAAATGTTTTTTATTCAGTTAACTCTTTTGAAGAGATTTTTAACAGAGTTAAAGGGTTAGTTCACCCAAAAATGAAAATTCTGTCATTAATTACTCACCCTCATGTCGTTCCAAAACCGTACGACTTTCGATCATCATTAGAACACAAATTAAGATATTTTTGATGAAATCTGAGAGCTTTCTAACCCTCCATAGACCGCAAGGATATTACCACGATCAAGGCACAGAAACGTAGCAAGGACATCGGTAAAACAGTCCATGTGACATCAGGGGTTCAACCGTAATTTTACGAAGCTACGAGAATACTTTATTACATAAAGTTACAATCTTCTGCCATTTTGGAGAGTACCCCAGAACGTAATCAACGTTGTTTACAGCGCACGCTTTCTACTGAACGTAAACAATGCTGATTATGTTGATTTAAAAATTATGCTTCGTAAAATTACGGTTGAACCTCTGATGTCATTTGGACTGTTTTAATGATGTCCTTGCTACGTTTCTGTGCGTTGATTGTGATAGTATCCTTGCTGTCTATGGGAGGGTCGGAGAGCTCTCAGATTTAATCAAAATATCTTAATTTGTGTTCCGAAGATGAACGAAGGTCTTGCGGGTTTGGAACGACATGAGGGTGAGTAATTAATGACAGGATTTTCATTTTTGGGTGAACTAACCATTTCAGCCAAATACAGTTTTGGAGTTTTTAGCAAAAATAAATGATAAAAACATGATAATAATTCAGCCAAAATATTTCTCGCCAAGAAAATGGCCACAGAAGCTGGAATGGCATTAAACACAAACAAACAAACAAACAAAACTCTTGACTGTCCTTGCAGATTTTGTCACAGCTTCGGACACTCAAGGTCCGGCGGCTCGCTGGATTGCTGCCCGAAGGGAGGACATCGTGCGGCAGATGACGGAGGCGTGTCTCAATCAGAGTTTAGACGCTCTGTTGTCCCGTGAGTTGCTGATGCGCGAGGACTATGAACTGGTCGTGAACCAGCCCACGCGTACCGCCAAAGTGCGGAAGCTTCTGGACACTTGCGAGCGGCATAGCGAGGACTTCTGCCGTGTGGTTGTGCGGAAGCTCCAGGACAACAAACAGATGGGCCTGCATCCCTACCCCGACCTCGGCACCACCAGCCCTCCGCCGCCACCTTATACAGCCCCCAGCGCCCCCTTCCTCTCCCACTCCTTCAACAACACACGAAACTTCTGACCTTCTCCCAGCTCCCAATCACTTCTCTTGAACCGGAGCTCCTTGAGTCCTTCTTTCAGTTAAGGATGGTTCCTGTTCACACGCTCTTACATTTGTTTGTGCTGCTTGGCCGATACGTTGTGTGCCTGGACAAGTGCTTTTGCCCCTGTGGTTAAGGTGTTGGTGCCTATGACACACTTTTTATGGTATCAACTTGAACGCATCGTACAAGGCCGACTATGGTGAAATAATCACTTGGCTTGTGTTGACGTAATGCCTAAATCCTTGATTAAAGGGATGCAAATTTAAGCAGTACGGTGGTTTGACATCGTCACGTTTAAACCTTTATTCCAGCCATCAAAAGAATCTGGTTGCTGCTACTTGGAAAATCAGTGAAACGCCTAAGCAATCGATCCTGCACTTTTTTTCATGCCAGCGAACTTGGTAAAATAGAAGACTTGAGGTAAAGTTATAAAGAAATACACACCCTCCTGTAATGCCAAGTAACGTCCATATTACTGCACAGTTACATGTCTGGACTTGATGATAAACTCATGTGAATCTGTGGTTTCGTTCTTCCTTGTTTCCCACAGCGAGGGCTGTTCGTTGTTTCGCTTTGTGTTGAATGTTGTGTTAGGGTTGGTGGACAGATGCAGACCTTAGTCAGGGTAGATGCAGTTAAGGCTTTGATGGGTTGAAAGTTACATTGTATTCATTGGGTTCAGTCAACAAATACATCTTGAGAATTTGACATGATCTTGAACATCACCTTTTGAACAGATGGTATGTTGCATACTGTGTATCGTGGCCCTTTTTCATTTGCATCACTTTAAATAAGAAGTTTGAAATAAAGTCCATTGGCACACCAGTGGTTTGATGGTTTGGCCATGCAGGGATAGTTCACCCAAAAACGGTTCTGTCGTCATCACCCTCATGTCTTTCCAAACCTATATGACTTTCTTTTGAAGAAAGTTTTATCAGTGGGGTCCAATGTCGATTTGTTTTGAACCCCATTGACTTGTACAAAAACAGTCTTCAGAAGAAAGAAACTCATACAAAGACATGAGGGTGAGTAAATGATGACTTGCAGTTTCACTCAAAAATTAACATTATTTACACCGAGTGCCAAAAGGTTAGCTTTGACATGTTTGGATTTTTGTGGTCTTTTGACAAATTTGTCAAATTAATTGTATTTTTGCCCAGCTGGCAGTGACAGATTCAACAAATCGAGCTCTTTGCCTGACTGTTTCTTCCATTGAGCCAATCAGATATCATTCTTTCCTTGCTGACTACTGTAGCATCCTGTTCATAAGCAATATTAGACAACACATTCAACAAAGCCGAATCAATCCAGGCTGAATAGGGCAGCACACTGGAGTCTATAATGATGGACTTCACACAAACTGGCTGAAGCCAACTTTACTTACAAGCCTTTTCTTCTCTTATGTTTTTGTTCTTCTCAAATGGCATGTCAGTCAAGTATGGAAGCCCGTTTCCGCCACTGAATAAAAAAATAAAGGTAATTGCGACTTTTTAATCTGACAATTCTGACTTTTTTTCTTGAAATTGCAAGTTTACATCTTTCAATTCTGACGTTTTCTCTCAGAATTGTGAGAAATAAACTCACAATTGCGAGTTATAAAGTCACAATTGTGAGAACTCGCAATTCAGACTTTTTTCTTTGAATTGCGTGATTTAAACTCGCAATTGCACGTTATAGTCAGAATTGCGCAATTGTGACTATAACACGCGATTGTGAGTTAAGTCAGAATTGTGAGATATAAACTCTCAATTCTGAGAACATATCAGTCTTTTTTCCCCTCAAAATTAGGACTTTATAACTTGCAATTGTGAGTTCATATCTCACAATTCTGAGAAAAAAGTTGCATTTGCGAGAAAAAAAGTCTAAATTTTTAGTTTTTATCTCACAATGCCGACATTATAACTCGCAATTGCGAGTTTATATCTCACAATTCTGAGAAAGAAAGTCAGCATTGCGAGTTTGTATCACACAATCACTAGAAAAAAAGTCAGTATTGTGAGATAAAAAAGTTTATTTTTTATTCAGTGGCGGAAACGGGTTTCCATAGTCAAGAACATTAACTCAATAATAAATAGGATAACCAGTGACCTGCTTATTGAACCGTATGCGGTCCAGAGTTGTTCACACTTCAGCTTAGATAAGTGTCTTGGATAATTGCTTTCTTAGTAAGTATTGTGCCATCTACAGTATGTAGCCTAGTTTGCACTGGTTATCATTGACTCCAGATGTAGCAGCAGATAGAGGACAGTTTACAGCACTTTTAATACATAAAATGGTCTCTAGCATGAAGCAGCTGTATTGAATATACTGATGTTTACATCACATCTGGATAGATTTTAAGAAATGCTACTGGCAAGATGCTTTTATCAAGGAACAATTAGTATTGAGTGCTACTGTTTCTACAACTGTCGCCAGTTTAGACCAGCAATTTTTTGCCATGTTGTTCGAAGTTTTGATTTCCAATGTTAATTATGCTTCCTATGTTTTAAGTTTGAAGTTATTAAGAAACTAAACCAAAGGGAATGCCCAAAGCTAGCACTGTAAATATCAACTCTACTGATCTTTAAAGGGTTAGTTCACCCAAAAATGAAAATTCTGTCATTAATTACTCACCCTCGTGTCGTTCTAAACCCGTAAGACCTCCGTTCATCTTCAGAACACAAATTAAGATATTTTTGATGAATTCGGAGAGCTCTCTGACCCTCCCATAGACAGCAATGCAGTTACCACGATCAAGGTCCAGAAACGTAGCAAGGCGATCGGTAAAATAATCCGTGTAACATCAGGGGTTCAACCGTAATTTTACGAAGCTACGAGAATACTTTTTGTTCGCAAAGAAAAAAAAGAGACTTTATTCAACAATTCGTCTCCTCCCATCTCCACCCTAGCACCATTTTATATCCACTGAACGTAACCGCGTATGCTATTCAGTGTCAACTGCGTCACACGGATACGTTGTTTTCTTTCAAATCAAAGCATAAACAACGTAGAAAACGTATCCGCGTGACGCAGCTGACACCGAATATCATCCGCTGTTTACGTTCAGTCGATACTCTCCAAAATGGCGAATTGTTGAATAAAGTCATTAGTTTTGTTTTCTTTGCGTACAAAAAGTATTCTCGTTGTTTGTAAAATTACGGTTGAACCCCTGATGTCACATGAATTATTTTACCGATCTCCTTGCTACGTCTCTGGACATTGATCGTGGTAATTACATTGCTGTCTATGGGAGGGTCAGAGAGCTCTC